TATTTCAGGCGCATCGGCAACGGCAACGGCAACAGCAACGTTGGACGAGCAATTAGAATTTTGCGTAGTTGGCGTTTAGTTGGGCGAAAGCTATAGATAGAATATAATATATGATAATTTATCTCCGAGATGTACATCAGTGTGGGGCGCTGGCGAATATGCGGTTTCCTAGATACATATATTCCCTTCCTCACTTGTTGTTGAATTAGTTTCTACGGTTAGATTTTCGGTGTATTTTTACAAATCTGTGGGTTTGTGGGGTTGATCAACTAGTTGATCTCTTCCGGTTTGGTTAGTCAAGGATTATTCATTCCCCAACTTCTTGTTCTCCTGAAGTACCTTCCATTTCTCCTGGTTATCCCCCAGAAATGGTGTTAAAATTAATGGCAATTAATCCATGCATTCTTGTTGTGTTGAAAATTAAAAATTCATTAGAGTTAAAATAGAGATACAAATTAATTATAGTTTTATTTCCAATTTTGATTATTGACAAGTTGAATTTCGAACATTATTGTTTGGTATCAAGTGCTACAAAATCAGAGATAATTTGTAGATATATCAGTGATGTAGTATATATAATCTTTGTACATTTGGTTGGACTAACTTTAGTGGGGTTAAGTGTCAGATTAGATTAGAGAGTTCTGTATTCATTGGATTTAGAAGCGCACTAGAAAGGAGCGGGGAAAGCGTGGAGTACAAAAAGTGGATGGATTACAAAAACTACCTTCTCGCTGCTACGGACACACATCCGTACGAGTACGGGTACGGATGCGGACACGGATGAGGATGCAGATGCGGATACGGATACGGTTGGATAACATTGCATTCGTTTGCTTTTGAGCAGCAGCTGGAGATGAGGTTCGATCGTGGTTTCTGCCTGGCCCTCCATCTATATCTTCTTCTATATACAACTTATGTGTTTGCTTGTGTGTGCGTGTGTGTATGCGGTGTGTGTATGTGTATAAGTGTGAAGCTTATGCTTTCTTTTCTCATGATTCGTAGTGCCTAAAATAAAAATGAAATCATTTACTCTGGGCCGAAACGAGAATGGTTTTTAATAACTTCTGACTTACCGGATGTGACCAGATACGAAAAAAACCACAATGACAAAAAAGATTCACAAGACAATAAGAGAAAACGATCAAGAGGAATTTCACTCCGCCCCATAAAACGGGCGATTTAGATAAAATAAAATAAACAACACTTGGTCTAAATTTAGACCTCCACAACTGTTGAGAATGTTGAAACCTGTCAAACGGAATGGCGACGCGACACTTTCCTTAAAAATATGCTTAAACGTAAACTTAGAAATACTCGTATATAAATTAGCACGTTCTTTGACAGCTAATTGCGGGAAAATCCTTCAAATTGTTTCCAGTGTAGAAAGCTTAAGCTTCGCTCTTGCCGGAAGCTCGCTCTCTCTTCCAACAGACTCTGCGAGTGTCTGCGCTCTTTTATCATGCGCGGTAGTACGTATGACAGTAGCACAATAAAGCTGATAAACGACCCGTCAAAAGCGAGAGCGTGAAGGGGTCGCCTTCTGAGTCTAGGTCTAGGTTGAGTGAGTGCTCATTGGGGCACGATGGGGGCTATCATCTATCAGATTGGGGAAAGGCTCATCTCATCCGTGAATGGTGTCGGAAATTATGTGAATGACAGACCCGAGGCCTTGAGTGGCCCAGACCTGCTCCGCCCATTCCCATGCCCACACATCCCAGCCCCGAAACCCGTTTGCCAATCCTCAGATATGCCACATGGGGTGCAGTGGGGGAATGAGGGATGGGCGACCGGCGAGGCGACACCAACGCACAAATTGGCGAGTGCAAGGCGAGAAACAAGTTCTGCGGGAAGACATGGATGCGGTGTGTATCTGCTAGACGGCGAATGTATCTGTGTGTGCGCCGGTGCCGAAAGAGCAGACAGACCACTAAAAATAGCCGGGTAAATGTGAAATGAAATGAAATTGTAGCGCGACAACAACAGCCTCATAGTATAGTCATCTTCAGCCCCTGCGGCATCTGCTGGTAGCGATGCAGTGGTACAGGCACCTCAGCGGTGGCTGCTTCTGCTGGAGATCCCTATTAAGTCCCCCATGGGCAAAAACCCAAACACACACAGCTGCAGAGGCCGATGATTAATGCGGGCATAAACTCATGCAGATTTTATGGATCGTGGAAATTTGTGGAATATATAGTGGGCGTCTTTTGGTCCGAAACAAGGAATTTTTCATTTTCGTGTGAAAAGATTTTTCGAGAATTACATACATATAGATATTTTCGAGCGAACAAAACTTGTTAGCGCCTGTCGCCAGCCATAATTCCGAGCGATATATGTATATGTGTAGTAGCGTTATAAATAGAAAAACATCTATGAAATGAATATATATAGACGTATAGGATCATGTGCATATATAGTGTGTTTAGTGCATCTTCAAACATGCCAAGGAGAATCTCAATGGGATTTTGATTTGGATTTGGGATGTGAGAGATGCGGAAATTACGCTGATAAAGCTGATTTGATGCTGCCCGGCGCTACTGGGTCAGAGAGCAGAAAGCAGAGCTAAAAGTGGAGCAACAAAAAATCAATATGCGGCGACAATCAAGTCACAACAAATCCCCTTAGCACCCATCCCCTCTCCTTCAGCGATTAGCAGAAGCAGCTCAAAGCATAACTGTCAAGCGCTTCTCTCTTTTGGTCTCTCCTTCTCTTCCTCTCTCTCTCTCTCACTCTTGGAGGTGGTTTCTACCTTCCCCTGCCTGCCATAACATAACGCTTATCAGTTGTCAGCAGTTATGTAAAAAACTGTGAAAAAATTGAGATTTGATATCAAACGGATCAGATCAGGAATTCTATACAGACCGCTTCTAAAAAATATTGGAAAAAATATGAAAGTATACAAGGAGTCTGAGCAAGGTGAGACAAGGTGGCTAGCATTAATCGATCAAATATATTAATTTATAATTAATTAATTAATTATTAATAATTTTAAAAAATCTAGCGTAATTCGAGTAAAATGTATTCTGACAATGCTATCTTGTTTGTTGTCCAAAAAAGTATAAACAAAGCGTGTTTTGATAAGAATATGTGATAAAAAATGATTGGTTTGATTAAATTAAAAAAAATTTAATTAAGACGCAGGTCAAATCAAGGTCATTTTGGTGTGCTGCAACGCGGGGTCAAATTAAGGTCATGTCGCAAACTGACGTGTATGTAAGAAAAATGTAAAGTAAAGTAAATGTGAATGTAAAGTGAAGTTACGTGTGTGCGAATTCGCGAATGCGGTGGAAGAAAAAAATGAAAACAAAACAAAAAAAGACTCGTTATCGATCTCGTTGCACGTTTTTGCTATCGACTTTTTGCCACTCTAATCTCTAATATTTACATCCATCAATTATATCATTTTATCAATAAAATAAGGATTTTCGACATCCTCCGTTTGTGTTATGTGTTATGTCGGTTCCAGCAACAAAACAAACTTTTTGTGGAGCCTCGCCTCCACAAGTGTTTGGATCCATTTGCATGTGAGTGACGTGACTGACGAGCACATCAAGACACCGGCTCAGAGCCCAGCAGATCATGTTTAAAAGGAACGCACGCACAAAAGTGACAAAGTTTTCAAAACTAAAATGCTTAGCTAAATCGAATTCTTCCAAGCGAAATGTTATGAAACTTGAGAGTTGCAGCGGGGCGAGGCTTAACGGTAGTTTGTGGAATTAATAAAAACAAGTGCAGGAAAGAGCAAGGAGCATCCACTTGGGGCAGGTTCCTTCTGAAGTTGGCGTTTGAGTTGGAGCTACTGCCATGCCATGCATATAAACACACACACACACACACACACACTTTTTCTTTTCTTTATTCGCATTTGCCTTTTGCTGGTGGCTGCTGCACTCTGCGTCCGAATCAACGGTTGCGGGGGAGTAGTGCATTTTGAAACTTACGGCTCATTTTGTTAGGTTTTCTTTTTGTTTAAATTCGTTAAATTAAAGCACACGCGGCGGCGAGTCCTTTTTACTTCTGTACGGGGGTGGGTGGGGCGTGCCCGTTAAGCTTTCACACGGCGGCCGAGAGCGAGTCAGAGTCGAACTAGGGGGAGCGTTTGCGTTCCGTTTGGGGCGAGCGATGGCGAGAGAATGAAACGGCCGTGGCGCTGCGGTGGGCAATAAATGCTATGTAGTGATGAAAACGGGGACGCAGCCGACGGCAGGCAGAAGGCAACCGCAAAAGCCGGCGGGAGATCTGTTTGCAAAAGTGTGTGTGTGTGTGCGAGCATGAGAAGAGGGAGGGTGCGTTCGCCGCCAGTTGAAGAGGAAGGCGCCAAGAGAAAATTTATTTAGCATTACACTCGCTTGGATTTCATTTCTGCTTCTTCTTTGGCTCTTGGCTGTGACACGCCGGCTATATATTTCTAAACTTGCTGGAGGAGAGGAGAGAGCGAATATGTGCGAATATCACAGGAAAAGAAAATCACGATTGGTGCTCAGCTAAGAGCTGATGGGAATTCAACACTTACCAGCACTGTTTTGTGCGCACATGTGAGCGCGCACATTTAAAATCGAAAACAGCTGATGAGCGGAAAATCCCGAACAAACACCTACAAACAGTGGAATCATCCGCATCTGGTGTCTGTCTGGTGTTCAAATAGTCTTTATTTTTGACGACCCGTATGTCGCTAAAACGCTGTACGTCTTGGTATATCTGTTATTGGAGTAAATATTGCTCTGGGACAGATTGATTTTTGTGTTCCTTTCAGACCCGCTCACTGTGCTTAGCCTTATATAGGTCATACTTACCTCAGCATGAACCCTTTAGAATTCTATGTAATAAATTTTATAACCTCCTATATTTCTCTTTATTGTTAATATATTAACCCTTAGTTAGCAGTTAATTCTTAATTAAATAAATAAATCAAACGGCACTTACCAGCACTGTTTTGTTGAATCTAGTTGCAACAAAAATACGCGAGGTGGCGCTACGTTCGTTAAGAAAAATACTTTTGCAGCCCTGGTTATTTAAATTTGTTTTATCGCTTGTTACAAAAAGTCGTTTCTTTTGAAAGCTTAAATGTTCTATGTTATTAATAATATCTAAAAACTACTTTGGTGGCATTTGAGAAAGGCACTTTTCTCAGATATGTGTGTGTTTTGGTGGTTTTTGGTTTTTCGTTTCATGGCAATTCGAGGAGTAGTCTGTTTTCTACGGTCCTATAACTACCCTAAAGGCTAGGTGTAATAAATAACTGGCCACTAAAACTAGCTAACTAACTAATGAACTATTATGCTGGGTTTGGCAGTATCACAGTGAAGAGGCTCGTCCTCCGGCTGACGGTTAGTGGCATTTCTGGGCGAGATCACGAAAGGCTTTCGCTTTTGGGCCTGGCTCATCCGTCGCTTGGCCCGTTTTTTGCGGCACCTGCTCACGCACCAGATAACAACTGTACGGAAAGAAGAGGATGGAATTAGAATTAGATTCACTCTCGATTGACTATCCCTATCTACTCACTCAGTAGCACAAAACAGACGCCGCCAAAGCAGCCGGCCGCAAAGAGCCACAGGCTACGCGACACGGCCAGGTCCACAGTCGACAGGCAACTGCGGAATGTCTCCGAGTGTATCGTCCGATTGTAGGGCAGTGGACACGCGTCTATGCTGAGAGCCTCTGAAAATGGAAATGGAAATGTGAAATAGAAGTTGGTCATGTGCCAAAATTAGCAGCTGCGACTGCGACTGCAGCTGCACCGCCTTACCCATGCAAACGGGGACGAACTTTGGATTGGCGCCGAGCATCATGATGTGATTGGTGACTTGCTGGCAGCTGCACGGACTGAGCTGCGTCTTGGCCAGATCTATGACCCGCAGATGGCACATGTTGGCCAGGCCGTCGATTTGGAAGTTGGTCAAAGGATTCATGGAGGCGTTGAGCTGCCAAAGTTCTGCAGGGAGAAGAATTGGGTTGTTATTTCGTATGCTGTATTGGGGGACTCTGGTTGACTCACTTGGCAGTACGCCCAGATCGGGGAGGTCTTGCAGCTCACAATTGGCCACGTTTAGATACTCCAGGGGAGCAGTGATGGGCTTCTGCAGCGTCTCCAGACCCAGATGTGTCAGTTCGTTGCTGTCTATATAAAGATTTCTCAGCTTGGGCAGTGTGAACAGCTCCATGGGAATCGTAGTGAGTCCATTATTTGAGAGATCCACTTCCTGAGATCAATAGGAGATATCGGTGGTAATGGCATTTCGCTGATTAATTGGATGGCGTTGTTACCTGGAGCGAGGTGAGCGGCTCGAAGGTGCCCGGCTCCACCGATAAGATCATATTCTCATAGAGCATCAGAAACCTGATGTCTGTGTACCTCTGGAACGAGCCACTTTTCAGCTTCCTAATGCGATTGTACGATAGATCCAGAACCTACACAAATTGTCAAATCATTTAATCATAGTCGAAAGTTATGAATGGGAATCGGAATGGGAATCTAGATGGAACGGGAGCTAGGGATGTTCCCATGGATACAAATACTATATGCAGAAGCATGTGTATAATATGGTTATGTTTGTGCAGCCCCAACTTCTTTATGCTTTAATTAAGCTCAATTGAGGCTAAATGGGCGGGGGACCGAAGCGAGGTCGATGCCGATGACGAGTTAAGTTACGGATCGCAGTTCGATTGACCCCCGAGAGACTGTTACTCACCTCCACCGAGGTCTTGAGGTTCTGGGGTACCTCTTTGAGGTCCATGTCGTAGCAGCGGATGCGCAGCAGCTTCTCGATCCGCGCGTACTTGCACTTCCGCTCATCCTGAATGACGAATCCGGAAGCCGGCAGGGGCAGGGCCCTCAGACTATAAAGGCAGACGATCAGCGGCAGCAGCCAGTGCAGTTCCATGCTCTGAAAAAGGAAGAACGTTTGTATATAGATCGATCGGAACTGGAGCCATTAAAGAGGTCACTTCCTAGCCTCCCCCATGACCCATTGCCTATGGCCCATTCCATTTATAGATTTCGGCGCTAACTTGTTTATTTTCTTGATTGAAACTAAAACAGTAAATTCATCCCAATGCGAAAACGAATGTACAATCGGACTTGGGCGCGTCAAAGCGTTTATTTTCGAATTAACGAATTACAAGATCATTGCCGTACCGGGGGTCTGGGTCTGGGTCTGGGTTGGTGTTTGCTTTTGGGTTTGGATTAGTTTCGTTTGGTTGGGGGACTGAAAGCATTCAATCAAGCGCATCTCCCGCACCTGGCAAATGTAAGCCACCCACCCACAGATACGTGGATACAGCAGCACAACAAAGCACAGATCTGAGGCGTAGGTCAGCTGCTGTCTCCCGCCGTATGTGTGATATGGATATTACGTATACGCCACGGCCAGGCCTGCAATCAGTGTCGTTTTGGGGGCCTGCATTCAAGCTCGATTGCAGCTGGGACAAAAGATGATTCCGCATTCGGCGGCGGAAACAGCTGAAAACTGTAATCATGTTAGCCAATTCGAAATTAGAACTGACTCACACGGCCATAGATAGATACATCAGAGCTGGAAGAGTCTTCGGAACGTGCCTGCGGTGTCTATTTTCTTGTATCTTATCATGGGGGTGTACAGTGTATATTCGTGCGTCTATATCTTTTAATTCAACATCAAACAGAACAAGGGTAACCATAAATCATATAGACATTCCATTAGAATGCTTTTATGCCCAGGCCATAATGTGTCGGAAACAACATCACACAGCCACAAAAACAACCACAACCATCCGATCCGCGGCACTTGCCTTCAATTTGCCAAAAGGAAAAGTGGCAAACAATAATTGATTAATGGCCAGAACAGAATCGGCGTAGCGTGATGTATGCCCAAATATATGGGTAAACTATGATATGATCTGGGCATGTAAGCCCACTCGGAATGAGCATTCGGCCCATTGTGGATGTTTCTGTCACGCCCCATTGAAATGCACTTGGAAAATCGCACGTTTCGGACCCCAACTCCAGCCATCCATCGGGCCCCGTATCACTTGCAGTTGCGTGATTTACTTTGTGAAAATTTGAAATGATATCCGAGCCTTATGAGTAATGTCTTGAGTATTGTAATTTTGCAGGGACTGAGGCAGAGACTGAGGCTGGGGCTGAGGCTGAGGCTGTCGAGGGTCGGAAGGCGGCGCCTTGTGACATTCGGGCTAATTGCGCTGCTTCAGCTGGAGCTGGGAGTAGTATTACATGGAAAAGCGAAGGTCTGTCAACGTTTGCAAAAGCCATAAGCCTTCACTTGAAGTTCAGTTTGTTCAGGCCAATAAATGATGAATGACCATGTTATCCATCCATTTATATTGGCAAATCACCAAGTGGCAGAAGTAAGCCAACAAAGCCCCATCTGGCCGATAACATCGGGGTGTTTTCGCCATTTACAGAAGGAAACAAAGGCAGGCCAATCAATTTTAAAGTTAGTTAGATTGTGTTGGGTCATACTAAGGGTGTTCACCACTCTTTAACAATGATTCATGGGCCACATATAGTTCAAGACAGTCATAATTCCCCATTATTTCCCATTTCCCATTTTTCGTTTGATGACTTGGGTGTTGGCCTTTGACCAAAAATTCTTGCGCTCCACTTGAGAGCAATATGGCTCCGAACAGTGCTGGCCGAAAGTCTGCTGCGCCGCCATTTGGAGGCACACTTTTCCCACCCAGTGCGCGCGTGTGCGAGTGCGGGGGGTACCTCTGTCATTAGAGCCCGTCGAATCGCCAAAAAGAAGAAGCTGAAAATATGAACAGAAATATTGAAGCTATTTCCACACTTTTTGGGACTGACAGCAACCGCAACAATGGCTATAAATATATTTCATATATTTAAATTAAAATTAAGCAGAAAGAAACCCCAAAAGATACAACAGCACCAGCGGCAAGAGGAAGATACAGATATAAACAGTGGGAGCCAACTGCAAACTTATGGCACAGGCGATGGAATGGGATGGACTCAAATCCAACAACTTTTATGCCCTTACTTTTCCGTGTCGGTTTTTAATATCACATTCTTGTGGGGGGCTCGAAATCGAATTCAAATTCAAAGGAATTGGCCATAAAAAGGGCTAATGCCAACGATGATCTAGGGGCAGCAAATGGAGATCCACTTCACTCCAGGCATACGCCATAAAAGAGGTCTCCCCCTTTAATCAACGCATCTGAATGAATCCCTAGCCCTACGGCTACGGCTAGCATTGTTGTATTTGGTGTGGGTCAGAATTTATGCTTTCCACTTTGGCCGCATTTGTTCCCATATTTATTTATATATTAGGCTCAATCAAGGGGCTGCTGCCACAAACAGCAGACAAACAATAGGAAATGCGAATGGGGTGGCAGAAATGGGTTACGTATCGGATCGAGTCGGATCGGATCGGATCGGTCCAAGACAGCTTCCACCTCCCGACAACTGTCGGCCAACGGATTGCAGCCTGTCCCGATGCTCGTTTGATAAATATGAAACCGGGAAAATTATTTATCTGCTTAGAGCACGATGCCCAAGCGATTATGGGAATAACGAAGGCAACAAGAAATCGAGAATCCCCTAAAAAATGGGAGGCACGAAAACACTCGAAATTAGTCTCAAATATTTTAATAACATTCTAAACATTTGTGAATGGATTTATGTGCTCTTCTGATAGTCCCTGTCACACATTGTGGGCGTCGCACGATGATACATATGTATATGGCATATCTATATCTCTGCTCAGACGCTTCTTTATCTCTCTGCAGGGCGCCGCCGTCCTCCCCTCAACAGGTGTGTGCCGGAGGGGCGAAGATTTATTCTCGTTTCTCAGGCCAGCGATAAAGATTTATCTGTTTGGACTTTTCCCTGATGCTGTGATGAAACATCATCCGAGTGTGTGTCATGTCCGGAGTACTCAAACTTGCTCTGTTACCTCCTGCGTTCTCCGGAAAGAGCATTGAGTAATAAGTGTACTGGCGGAATAAAAAGTGAATCTTATCGGAGCACTTGACGTGCTCCTCTTATCGGCTGACTTGGCTGTAAAGGTCTTTCCAAATTATAACAGCGATGCCAAGAACAACAAAAAAAAATAAGACTTAATTGAAACGGCACCAACAACAAAAACAACAGCCACAAGAATGGTGGAGCAATAAAAAAGAGCGTTGTTCATTTATTTCAATTAAATACAATCAAGACAACATTCGCCCGAGACGGAAAATACCGATCCGAACAGAAACAAAACAGTCCATGCGGTTCCATCGCTTATTGAAAACTGAGTGGAGCGGAGCCCTATGCAAGTGGAGGGCAGTAACTCTCCCAGTAGCTGGCTGGCTGGCTGGCTGGCGAGGGCACTTTGGGCGGGGTTTCGGAATACTAAAGGAAAAGATCGTCTTACCTTAAGGGAAGGTAGAAGATGGGCTCAAGTTTTTGTTGATACTGGACTTGCCTTTCTCATAGGTAATAATTCCTGGAAAATATTGTTTCATTGTCAGATTACATATTTTTGTTCTACAATTTAATGTTTATAAGAGGGCGGTCTGAAAGCACTAGGTTCATCAACTGATATTCTACCTCTTTCTGTTTGTAGAACTCTGATTGTTGAACAAGATTCCCCTTGTTGATAAGCAGGTGTTTTTGGTCTTTGTGCTTACAGAGAGTTAATGACTGTATAAACAGACGCACTCTGGTTCTCTCTAGAGCATTTCTTTCTGTGCGGAGTCTGCAGTCTCCCCAGCGTAATCTGCTTATTCTCCCCTAATTGAAACCAATTTAACTGCGGTTCTATCGCATTATGCTGCCTGGGAGACGGACTCTCTTCGTGGAACTCAGAAAAAGCAGAGCCGGGACTACTCTGTTGCTGTGTCAATGCTAAGTTTCCTGATTAGAAAATCTAATGTACCCCAAGTGCTTGGCGCAGCTGTTGTGCAATCTACGAGAGCCGAACACTATTATGTAGTTGCTGTAGTAGTAAATGATAACCCGTAGCCAGACCTCCATTTCGAGTGGAACACAACACAAATGTACAGGAACCTAAGTACTATACGGTTCTTACTTACTTTTCTTCAGTTTAGGTAATCCAATTTTTGAGGTATAGTAATCCCATTTAATGCGTTCGAGGATTATCCTTGAGCAGGATCATTGTTTCACTTCACTCATTGCCGTATCTTTCCACACATAATCAGTTTTTGTACACAGATTTCGTTTCGTTTAATTTGTGATGATTTTCAATTAGCACAAAATATGATATTATTTACGTGGGGACAAGAGAGTGGAGAAAAAAGATATCGTAGCGACCGTTACGGAGCAACAGAGTCAACCGGAACCGTTCAATTCAACCGCAGACATGGAATTGAAACGATCGCAGCGAAGAGAACAGAACCGAGAACAGTACGGCGGGACGAGCACACGAGCCACAGCGAAAACTCTGATAAAGCACGCACACAGAGACCGTAATGCACGGGAAAACTCAAGAGAGCAGTGATCACTCTCTCCCTCTCTCGGTCTCTCTCTCTCTCTGAATGCGTTTTCTGATAACGCTGATTGAAATGTTTTCGGGGCTTTGACAGCCTGATATTATTGTTGTATATTCTGTTGATACGTACATTAGCAATAAAACGCTAATCTCATCGCTAAAACGGGAGGAGGGACCCCTTTCTTAATGAAGCATCCACGTTGGCCAGCAGGAAATATATACATATGTATGTAAATAGTAGTCATATTTCATATACGATACTCGGTATCTTGATGAATGATAACGAAAATGAGAGCTTAAGCCATGTCATAAATGGTTGCAGACAGACACCTTACCATAATTCCGTTCTTATCAAGGCGCGACTCCCTCTGACAGGCTGATGTCTTGGCCGCATGATCGGGACATGTGAAAAACGCACTGATATTCCACAAATGCATTTCCATGGAACCACAAATCCTATCTGGAGGAAGAACCAAACCTCCCTGCCAAACCGCCAATTGCTACCTGAGAGATCAGGGCAGGTAAGAAATACACAGGTAATGCACCAACACTATTGCTTTCAATCGCGATTTATTTTCTTGCTTTTAATATTTGTTTGTTCACAACATGAAAAAGAAATGGTAGAAAAATATGACATGTGATTAAAGGTTTTAATACATAAACCCACATTCCATTAGTTTTGTATTTTTTTTTTATTTTGTTTACTCTGGTTACCAGTAGATTTTTTTAGTCTTCGATTTTCATGATGCTATCATTTGAATAGATGAAAAGTATAATCCAAAAGCAATATTTGGAAATGAAATCAGGCGATTCTTGAGTTGGTTAATTGAGTAAAGAATAGAGAATAAAGTCCCCCAAGCTGGGGTTTAAATAGTTTTAAAGGAAAAAAAATAAATAATTCCCAGGGGAATGTCCTTCTCCGTGCTCCACTCCAATTCCCCTTTCGTTGATAATGTAAAATGTGTTTACAAAAGGTTGAGCAATTTAAATTAAATCGTTCTGCATTCACCATGCGGCTAACATTCTTTCGTTAGTTCAAATTGTTTCTAAATTTCAATTTTTTTTCAGTTTTTTTAAACATTTTTCGTTTGTTTTTATACGTTTTCTGAGGGTTTTTTCGTTTTTTTTTGTTCGTTTTCTTTCGTTTTTTGTTGGATAACTTTTTTATGTGTTGTTGGTTGATTCATATTCAAATATTTGAAACAAAATTAGCATTCATTTTGGTTTTCCATGAAAAATCAATGAAGCTTCTTGGCTAAACAAAATCGTGAGCTCTCCCTCTAATTGAATAAGTTGGACTCGTTCATCTAAATTAGGTAATACATTGCATTAGATCGGATGCTTTAGCACAACAAATAAATATTTTGTTTTTATACCCGTCCGACTGGGGCTCACTGACTCTCCTGTAGACGGAGCTTCTCGCTGATGCTGGTGCTCTGGTAGAACAGCCTCACGACATGGGTGCAGCTGTCGGCGACTTGGCCCTTGGTGGCCAGAATCTCCACCTGGAATGTCTCGGAGAAGCGAGTGTCGATGAAGCTCTGCAGATCGGCCACATTGCACTTGGCAATGGTGGCGCTCTCCAGCTCGCAGTGCTTGCTGTAGCGCGGCGGCTTTGCCAGTTCCTCGGGCAGCTGGCGGAACTGGTCGGTGACCGCGTTGTTGCCAAAGTCGATGAAGTGCACCTCGCACTTGCCCTCGTCCAGGACCTTGACGATTTGGGCACGATAGAAGACCTCGTCCTCGGGAAACTGGGCCACGCAGACGGCTCCCACTTTCAGGTCGGTAAAGGCGGGCAACTCCTGTTCTGTGTCGAGCAGCTTGTCGGTCATCTGCTCCAGAGCCGGCACATCCACCTCCATTTGCACGTAGAAGGAGGTGGGATCATCGTACTGCACGACAACGCAGTTGTGCAGCTCCACCTGGAGCGGTTTCTGTACACCGGCCACTGTGTTGGTTAGCTCCTGGGCAAAGTCTTTATAGTTGATGCGCAGCTTGGCCAAATGTGGCTTTGTATCGTCCTCGTTCGGCTGTGTGGTTATCTCGTAGACCTCGCCAAAGTGTTGCTCCAGCAGGGCGGCGAATGCCTCTTCTAGCTTGGGATCGGGCACATCCTCAGGTATCTCACTCAGCTGGCAGTGCAGGGCCAGCGGCGGCACATCAACCAGCTGCCGGGGAAGTTGGAAGATCTCCGTGGCTGCCATAGTAATACCGTAGTCAACGAGGAACACCACAAATTCCTTTTCTTTCAGTACGGACTTGATCAAGCATCGATAAAAGCAGGTATCCTCCTCCGAGTATGCCACTCCCATCGCCGCCTCCGCCGCCTCTGCCGCAATATCCAGACTCTTCAGGTTAACTTTGTCCAGGCCCTGCAACGACTTCACAACCAGATCCAGAAGCTGCGAGTTTTTCTTCAGCTGAACGTAGAAGCTCCTGGGCGAGTGGCCGTGCGAGATGATGCACTCGGAGTTCTCGTTGTCCTTCTGGATGAGTTTCAGCTTCGCCTCCACGAGCTTTTGCAGCTGCTCGAAAATGTTCATTCCGTTCTTGTCTTTGATAGTCAATCGGACAATAGGCGGACTAGCTGTCTTGTCGAGTATCTCTGCCACCACAGCACCATCGCAGCTTTCCAAGATATCGTGCAGAGATTCTGTGGTCAAGGATTTGTTCTTTTCAAAGTCGGCGCAAGGCTCGAGGCTATACACCTCGGCCAGGGGCAGAATCGTGGTGAACTCATCGGGCGTCTCGTACAGCGCATCATCGACCTCTATAACCATGCCAAAGTCGATTAGGAAGACGCGATACTTGTTGTCCAGCAGTTCCAGGATTCGCCCGCGATAGAAGTCCTTATCATCTTTACACTGAACCACGCACAGTTCGCCCAAGTGTCCCTTGTCCTTCTTTGGCTGCAATTTGCCTGCGTTGAGCTTTGTGCAGATGCTATCTGCCAGGGCATGCTTCTCGGCCAACTGCAGGTATATTTGGGAAGCGCTTTTCACTTGGGTGATGGTGGCTTTGGTTGTGGCAGTAGAACCGGAACTAAAACCTGCCAGGGATGACGTTGGCTCCCTTTTCGGGCACAGCGGTAGCAGACGGTCAATGATGTTCTCCTCGTCGAGCATCAGATTGATGGTGACATGATCCGCGCCTGGCTTCAGCAGCTGCGTAGTGAAGACCAGCTCCCCCTCGCCAGTGAGCTCGGCAAACTTGGCTTCAGCCTCCTCGGACCAGGCAGTGTGCGTCAAGGGCAGCTGCAGCGAACACTTCTTGGAGAGGCTGGGCAGTTTGGCGATCTCCTCGGAGACCTTCAGGCACTTGGTGGTGGTCGAGGTGTTGCCGTAGTCAATGAACAGCACTTCGTAGCGGGAGTCGGGCAGCTGCTTGAGCAGCTCGGCACGATACCACAGCTCATCGTCCTCGAAGAGAGCTGCAACGATGGCTCCCTTCTCGAAGCGCTCCAGGGGCTCGAGGGTCTTCTCATTGTCGCGCAAATACATCTCGATCAGCTCCAGGGCCTTCGAGTCGCGCTCCAGCTGGATGTAGAAGTCACGGATGGCGTTCACGTGCGAGATGTAGCAAGTGCAGCCGCTGGCCACATACTCGAGGGGCTTGGCGTAGCCGTCGGCAATCAGCTTCTTGGCCACGTCCTCGTCATCGATGTACAGCCGAACATAGCTGATCGTCTTGTAGTCTCCCCGGGAGAGATACTCGTAGCGCAGTATCTTGGAGTAGGACTCGTTGAATATACCATTCGCCGCATCCACCCAATCGCGTGTGTTCTTGGGGGCAATGGGCAGGGCACAGGGCAAGCAGAAAGGATCCATGTGGCCAAACATGCTCTGCTTTATGTCCGTGGTGTCCGAGACGCAATCCGTGTTACCGAAATCTATGAACAGCAGGACCATTAGCTCGGCATCAAGGATCTTGGCGCGATACCAGCACTTATCGACGGAGTAGAGGGAAACGCAATCGGTTCCGTCGACGACATTCTCCAGCGGTGGCAGCGAGGGCGACACAATCTGCAGGTTCTCCTGCATACGATTCAGCTTCTCCAGCTGATCGACGGGATGCACAAAGAAGTGGGCAGGATTGTCGCAATGGCTGAGCACAACCGTTTCCATACCCTTGTAGGGGTCCTCCTCTGGCTGTGCAGGTGGCTGTGGCGGCTCCTCGGCTTGCACTATCGTATTGACTGGCTCCTTTGCTTTGCTTACAGACGGAGCTGGTTCTGGGGAGCTTGGCTTGGATGGTTCTGCCACTGCAACTGGTTCAACAGCTACAATTTGTGCCACAGGAACGGGAGGCACGGCTGCAGACGGCTCCTTCTTCCTTGGCTCTTTGTCGTTTTGTGGCTTTTTGGCCTTTGGCGAGGCATTTGCCGAGCTTGACTTGCTGCGGCTCTCCTTGCTGCGCTTGTCCTCCTCATCGTCCATGGTCAGGTCCACGGTTTCGATGTACTCGTAGGTGGGACTCTTGCCCTTATCCAACTGCTTGCGCATGTAGTCCAGATCCAGATGGGAGGCCACAAGTTTTTCTGCCTTCAGCCGCTCCGACACGTTCTGATTGTCGCCCGTGATGACATTGCCAATGAGGTGATTGCGGCGAACCTCGATTGGCTGAATGGTGACCACCTGCTCCTCCAGCAACTCTGCAAGACGGCTCTTTAGTTTTGCCTCATTGCTCGGTCGGCCCAGGGGTAAATTGATCTCTACAGCGAATCCACTGGGGTTCGCATAGAATCTGTCGTCCAATGCCTTGATATCCTGGCGATTCAGCTCCTCCGTGTTGCCGTAATCAACGTAGAACACCTCAGTGCGAGGCGCATTCAAATCGTTGGCCACAATACGTGCTCTA